AGGAGCAAAATCAGTAGGGAATAAATATGAAGAGATTTATGGCAAGTAATTGGTTTGGGTGAATGGTCAGGTGACCCTTGGCAGGACAGGAAAGTACAGAATCCACAGGGCAGGCCACAGGAAGGGCAAGTTGGAACTCTCAGGCAAAGTCTGAAGCGGCAGCCCTCAGGTAGAACTTTTGGGAAAGTTCATTTCTGCTCCTAATGCTTTTGATGGATTGAATCCACCAGGATTAGCTAGGAAAAATCTCCCTTTTGAAACTGCACCATTTATGAACATTATTCATATTTGCAAAATCCCTTCACAATGATACTTAGATTAGGACTTAAATAACCAGAGAATGTGGCCTAACCAAGGTGACATGGAAGACTGATCATCATTTCTCCTCCCCAACTCCCCACACATTTCTTCTTCTACAGCCAAATTTCCTCCACCAAGAGCTGTCACCAGTGTGTCAACTCCAGACCTTTGCATACAGAAACCTGCACAGAGAGCCCTCTCCATACCTGTCCACCTGTAAAACAGTGCATCCTCCTATCTGGCTCACTTCAAAGACTGAGATGGTTAAACTGGACAGTTAAACTGTGATTGATGTGGGAATGAGTGTGGCTTCAAAAAGGATGTAGAGAAACTATCTCAGGGTGGCTCTTTTGGAAACTCGTCCTTAATAGTCACTTTCATTTCCCCTTCTCTTCACCTGACTTCTCTCTATTCCTTTTGGGTCCCTCCTTTCTCTCTGGTAGTCTAAATTTTAAAGAGAAGCTCCACCTAAATAGTTAGGATGCTACCTGCTAAATCTTTCTTTAGATTTACAGAACCCAAAACATTTGATGACTTTTGCCATGCCCCTCCTTAGTCTTTACTTCTGACTAAAAAGAATTACATGAGCTAGCCCCAGCTGGCTGAGGTCCATAGGATGCTATTCCAGGAGAAGAGAAAGGAGAAATGCCCAGATGATTCTGCTCAGCACACAACCTTCCTGCCTGTCTCCTTCCCTCCTTCCCTATAAAATGTTTTGTGCCCATGAAACTCCCAATGTGTAGCTTTATACCCCTCCACCTTTCAGTCCTTGAATAGACCTCATTCCTTCCTACCAGCTCATCTTTGGAACATTGGCCTTCTAGTGGTGGGCAGCCCAGACTTATCCCAGTAACAAAATCAAAAAGGAGTTTCAGGGGTTTAGAGCACTTTTAGAGTCAGGAGGCCATAGTTCAGCAGACCTCAGACACATCCAGAGCTGAACCTTTGAACTGGGCTGCAGACACACCCACTCCTGGATGCAAGTTGACCAAGTTTGTCACATGTGTACAAGGAACCCCTTTCCCCACACTACCTAGATAGTGAGACCATGCCCAATCCCTTTCTCATGAAGCAGTTTAACTTCCAACAGCACCAATCCTAATTCTAGATTGATAAATGATGTCATTCCCAAACCCCTTGTAGTTTAAAGTTATCATTTTGTGGTCAGACCACATTTTCAAGATGCTTGAATCTGTTTTCCTGAGTTGTGATCCTAATTAGCCCCAAATAAATGTGATTTTTTTTTGGTCTTGAGTAGGTTGATTTCATTCTCAGTCAACAAATCCTAGAGATTTTCTCAACCTTGCTATTTCCTTAGTATTTGTGAAGTTTCAAATTATTCATTATTTTTTTAATGTCTCTTCCCTGAGATTACTCCTTATAAGCATGAATGGTGTCTGATATCTTGGCACCACTAGCACAGATGAGACCTTGTGAATGTGTGTCATGATGAAGAGCTCATTTTGCAATGTACAAGCCAGGAAGTGAAGACCCTCAATGCCCAGATTTACTCACCCTGGGGTAGGACAGAAGAAATTTTAAAAGAGAGGTAAAACGAAGACAAAAGTTCTGAAAGTCTTGTGCTAAAGTTCCTCCTATCTTTCCTTCCTGAGCCAGTTATCTCCCAGATCTGTCACTTTCAAGTTTCTGGGAAATCTACAAATCTTTACCCACAATCTTAAAGTTACTAGAAATCCATTGACTTCTAAAAATTGACCTGTAAACTGCTTATTAGTGCATTAGCATGTGTGTTTGTTGGATAGCTTTTTGTTTGTTTGTTTGTTTGTTTAAACTAGAGTCCTTGGCTAGAGATTTGACTCTGGAGTTCCAATAAATCAGGTCTGGGTATTCACCTCCCCAAAATACAAACAGAAAAGGTAGCAGTGACAAGCATGAAAGAAATATTAGTCAGAACAGCTACTCTGGGAAGATCAGGGTAACCATGCCCTCAACTCTGTCTTCAAGGAGCTGAAAATGACTTTGAGGTTCTATAGAAAGAGGAATGAGGGCAAGGGTTCTGGGGGCTTTTCATAGCTGCAGAAGCAGCTGATCTTGATCTGGTGTTGTCTGTCCCTCACTGTCTCCAGATTGGTGGGGCAGGGCCTTGTTCCAGATAAAATCATAAAAGTTGCTATTGCCTGGGAGTCAGCTTCGACTCATCACCAGATTTTTATTGGATCAGCACTATTCCTGGAAGCCAAGGTAACTAGAAACAATGCAATGGAGGCAGAGATGCCAAGTCTTTGATCCTGTTTTTAGCCACCCATCAAACATTTGCAGGTAAAAGTAAAAGCGTCTAAGTCCTTGTTACAGTTACTTTCTTAACATTCTCCATCGATGAGATAATGGAAAATACATCAATACAAGGATCCTGAGAATTGCCAGACCACCATAAAACATCTTGTGATCACCAGACTGATGTCAGCCCCACACACCTCCCCATGCCCCACCCCTCACTCTAGAGATGGCCCACATTCTCCCTTGACTGTATCCTGCTTGTTTTCCTAAATAAATCCCTGTGCTTCAACATCTGACAAGTGCTGAAATTCTTTTCTGTCTTGTATGTCAAGGACCCCATTGTCCTGAATTGAAGTTCCCTTCTCCAGGACCTACTCATACCACCTCCAGTGACAATCCCAAGGATCATCTGGATAAACAAATAATTCAGGCCACCTGCTGGGTACAGTGGTGCAAACCTGTAATCCCAGGTACTTGAGACCCTGAAGCAGGAGGATCACAAGATCAAGATAAGCCCGTCTCAAAATGAAATTAGGGAAACCCTATCTGAAAAAGGGCAGGGCACAGGTAGCTCAACAGTAGAGCACCTCTAGGTTAGATCCCCAGTACCAGAATGAATAATAGTAATTCAGGCAAAAAAGTATTTTCTCCTCAATTCAAGTTTCAAAGAAGAGCTATTAAGAATTAAGGTTATGGATCCTCAGCACCACATAAAAATAAAAAAAGGTATTGTGTCCATCTACAACTAAAAAAATAAAAAAAAAATAATAAAAGAATCAAGGTTATGGAGAGAGAAAAGTTTAGAATTGCATGCCTGCCTCTTCCTAGTTCTGATATAAAGAGCAACTGTCCAAATCTGGCTTTGTCAGCTTTGTCAGAGATAAGGGATGGGTCTTTAAATTCCAGATGTTTAACTGCAACCCCAGGAAAGTTCTGGCACTCTTTGCTAACCCTTTCTTCCAAGAAGTGTCTTTGTCTTTCATTCTGAAGGATCCCTTTCTTTTTCAGGTTCTATAGTTTTGATGGAACTGCTTGAGTGAGTAATTTTACTCACGATTTTTTTTCTAACTCCTAACATTATCAAGCACTTACCACAGGTCAAGCATTATCTCAGTTATTCTACACAATAATCCTATATGGTTGGTAGTTTTATTATCTTCAATTTAAATGTGAACAGTGTTGCCAGGTTAGAAAAGCCTGATCTCAGGTACTACTCTTCCCATTAGAGAATGTATATCTTGAGCATTGTCCCTAAAGCCTTGAGGACAATAACACCCACTTCACTGCACTGTTATGAGGATCGACTGAGATTAAACAAGTAAAAGTGATGGGTAGAAACCAAGCACTCAATGAATAGTTGGAGAATGTAATGGAAAATTAAATACATGAAAACCAGAATTTGTATGTTTCTTGGCAAATGTCCTTATTCTGCTATCATAAAGTTCTAGAGGTCAAATCACAGAATTGATCAAGCATGATGTCTTCTCTGGACAAAATTGGATAAAGAAAATTACCAATGTGTCTCAGAGATTGCATAGCCTACCTGCATCAGAATGGGGGAGTTAGTTAAAATGCAGATTCCCAGGACCATACCCTATTCCCATCCCCACTTCCATCTCCACCCACTGATGTGTAAGAACTATGTTTTTTAAACAAACTCAAATAATTAATACATACCCCTGAATTTATGTATTTTTCATACATATCCCTGAATCTATGCATTTTTTTTCACTAGAATACTACCAGAACCAGGGTCACTGAAAACATAATTTATTTTTCATAACTATATGGCATGAGCAATGTCATATACACAAAGAAACTTGAGAGTTATCAAAAAAGTACAAAGCCAAAATCTAAACAGAAAAGGTTTCAGCCAGTATAGTTCCCAAATAAAAACCACTTTTGAGACTTCAGGGGAAAAATGGGACTGGTCTTGTAGTTTAGCGGTAGAAGGTCTGCTTAGCTCAAGTGAGGCCCTGATCTGATCCCCTGCATGCCTGCACATGCACGTGCCCGCACACACATGCATGTGCCCACATACAACATGCACATACACAGGGACGCACATTAATATACATGGCCCCCTTACAGCTGAATTAGAATGACTAAAGGGCAAAACCTAAGCAATCATGTGCTGAAATTTTTCTATAAATGATTCGAATTATCTCTCTGGTTAAGAACCACTAGTAACCATTTGGACTGCCAACATGAAAAATGCTTGACCCACTTCCAAAGTAATATTGATCTTATTTATCTAGAACAAAGTTGTCAAAAAAGCAGGTTTTCATTGTGGCTTACATACTGCTAGACACTGCTTGCTTACACAGTTCAACCTCAGCTTTCAAGATTTATCTCTTAATTTGTGCTATAAAGAACCACAGGGAAAACATCACATATTTTCAGTGGCGTGAACTATGCTCACAGCTGGACACAATGTCGGAAGGACACACACGCAGTCCCATAAGTGTTAGCTTTTTAGCTGTTTTGTTTTTCACTGCTTCCTCATCTTGAACTCTCTGCTCTCCTTTTTCTATGTTCATCTTCAAAAGCTTTGATTGGCAGGTCCAAGTGCCTCCTCATCAAACTGATGACATCAGGCCTAGAGAAATAAAGGGCTTTGCACAAGGTTCCTCAGCTACATGGTAGCAGACCCAGGACTTGAGTTAGCCTCTGACTAAGCTTCTCCAAGTACTTGTTCTCTCCCCGAATTTTGGTAAGATTCTTCATCGCTCTAGCCCCTACAAGCCAGGTTGGCCTCTTGGACTTGTAATCTAATTAGTTGCACAAGGCTCAGCTTTTTAGAAGGTCCCCACATTTTATTTAATGCTCTGCCATCATTGTCTTTAAATTATTAATAAGTTTTTAAACAAGGATCCTCTATTTTTGTTTTGTTTCAGGGCCTACAAATTATGTACCCTCTTGCTTAAAAGTACAGATGGCTGTCCCTGGCCCTGGAGAAAATTGAATATCCACTAGGAATGTGGAGAAAGTTTATAGCTACACTTCAATTTTCAAGGGAAAATTGGCCTCACCTCAAAGAGACCTCAGCCTTCTCTTACCTGGACAGACTTCATGAAAAGATGCCTCATTCTCCAAATAGGTACTAAGGAAGATGCCATTTTAGAATTATCCTTGGACCCTTGATGGAAGGTGGGTAGTTACATTTCTGTTTAACTTAAATATTTCCTAATGGAAATGGTGACTGTGCTTTTTGTCAATGTGACTAAAACACTTGACAGGAACAACTAGAGGAAGAAAAGTTTATTTGGGTTCACGGTTTTAGAAGTCTCACTCCATGGTTGGCCATCTCCACCCCGTGCGCTAGAGGTAAGGTAGAACATCATGGCAGAAGGGTATGGTGATTCCACACATGGGAGCCAGGAAGGCGGTGGGGGGGAGGGGAAGAGAGAGAGACAGAGAGAGACAGACATATGCAAGGAGCCAGAGACAAAATATAATCCCTAAAAGCACACCCCTAGTGACCCACCACCTTCAGCCATGCCCCACCTGCCTACAATGACTACCTGTATAGTAGACCTTTCAAGTTATTAATCCACCAAATGGGTTAATTTGCTAATTAGGTCACAGCTGTCATAATCTAATTATTTCACCTTTGAACATTCCTGTTTGTCTCACGTGAGCCTTTGGGAGACACCTCATGTCCAAATCATAACAGTGACAAATTAGAAGACTTTTTAAAATTTCTTTCCTTTCCACTCCAGGTTGTTTTCTAGAAATTAGTACTTTCAAATCCCTTTATTAGCATATCAATTACCATCCAGTTGTACTTTGACAACTTTATAAGCAGATTCTATTTTGAAAATTTCTTTCAAATAAAACTTGGGTAAACTTTTCCTATTTCTTTTGTGCTCATAATGCCAATATTATTTTCATTTGTTTAGTTATGCTTAGTTATCTTGCCTGTCACAGCCAGATTGTTAACATTATTTTTCAAGTCTTGTTTTTAATTTGTAAAGGTAACACAACAATTGGAAGCACTTGCTTCCTGACTGCACCCCCACCTCCCATCCAAGAGTCCCTTTAACATCCAAGAGATACACATATTTAAAAGAAGGAACAGCTAATGTACTTTGTTATAAGCATTTTAGAACTCAAAAACATCTAATAAATAACCAATTCAATGTTCTTATTTTCCTCACAAGAAGAAAGAATGTGATTTGGTCAGCAAATCATGTCAAATTCATGACACACAGGAAGAGATTTCCAGGGCTACTGACCCTATCTAAGTCACTGTCTTAGCACATTTATGCTTCAGTAGTTCTAAGTAAATTACAGTGACGATCACTAAGTATTACTGCAGAGTTCAAAGAATGATGTCAGAAATTGAAGTAGAATATGATGGTAAAACAAAATTAAAAATCCTCTAGTGCATAAAGATGATAGAAATCAGTATTATATAATATGCAACCATTTATTCAAAAACTTCCTTTCAAAGACACACAAACTACCACACATTTACCTTTTACAGAACCCGGATTAAAATCCTTAATAACATCATCATTATAAGACAAGACTACAATTTGCTGTGCCATATTTTTCTTATGAAGCTGTCATGAATATAGGACATTTGATCTGATCAGGGTAGCAAACCAGAAGAGCAATTAAGAGTCATGTGGAAACGACTTAGACATCTCCTGCACATCTTTTGGTCCTTTGGTCACCAACACATCTTGAATATACTTAGCACACTCCCTTCATCACTGATTCATTTGTACTCAAGAAAGTATATAAGTCCCCTCATGAAAAAGTGAGCTTCATTTTTTTTCCCCTGCGTGGTGCTAGGGATCCAACCCTGGGCCTCAGACATGCAGAAAACATGCCACCACTGAGCCACATTTACTGAGCTACCTCCTCAGCCCCAGACTATGAGCTTCTTAATGATAGGAACCTTGGGTTTGCAGTTCATTTTTTCATTTCTAGCATCTAGTGCACTGCCTGGCACACTACGATTTCTGTCCTCTTTAGGGAGAACAGTAGAGGAATTCATTCATTCATTCATGAATAATTGATTATTTTATGGAATTCCTGTGTTTTCATATTGATGTGTTAGAAGAAGGGGGCAAAGAGGACACATCAGGAAAATATGTTAGACATTTTATTTTCAGTGCTTGGAATCAAACCCATAGCCTTGTGCATGCTAAGCAATACTCTACCACTGAGCTACACCCCAGTCCATGTTATACTTCAAAAAAAGAAAAAGAAAAAGAAAAGAAAGCCTTTCTATGCCTTGCACAATGTTAACAATGCACAATGCAGCAAATGTAATTAAGGATGAAACAGTAAGGAGGGGCATACATTTCTCCACTTACTTGCAAGCAAGCCAACTCCACTGGCCAGGGATCCCACCCAGGCTGTTTTTCCTTTTCCTTCACCAAAGACATCCAACCATTCTATATATAAGACTCCAACAGCTAACGGGGATCCGTAACACAAAAACTGAGTGAAGAAGGAGACCAGCACAATTACCCAGCCCCATCCACCATCAGGTGATTTTTTAAATTCCATTGTAAGGTGAAGTTGGTGCTTTCTGTAGGTCCTAAAAGGAAAAAAAAAAAGCAGAAAAGGAAGGCAAATTAAACTTAGATTGTGGTAGCACAGTATTTTTAGATTAAAATATCTCTTTCTAAATCAAGAAATAAAAAGAGTCCCTAAATATACATGAACAGGCACAAAATACTACTGACATATCAAGTTAGTTTTTTAAATTTTCACTTATGAAATCTTGGATCCACTAGTACAAAAAAAAAATTTTTTTTGATTATAAAAAGGCAAAGAGTGGCAGGGCACAGTGTGGCACACACCTGTAATCCCAGTCACTCAGGAGGCTGAGGCAGGAGCATCACAAATTTCGAGGCCAGCCTGGGCAATTTAACAAGATTCTTTTTCAAAATAAAATTAAAAATTAAAAAGGACTGGAGATATACCTAGTGGAAGAGCATCTCTGGGTTCGAAAAAAAGCGAACAGAGTAAAATGACTTGTTGCTTTTCCAACCTTGTCTGCTTTCACCACGTTTTCATCCCCTCCCGATGGCGGGGAACCCATGATTTTAGTTTCGTGGACTCCCCTGGAAGTAGACTCTTAGCAAGAAAATAATTTATTAGGAGTGTCATTGTGTCTGCACCTACAGAAGGGAACCCAGCAGAGGGAGCAGATAAACCACAAAACAGTTAAAAGCAGGGGGTTCTAATGTTGGGATGACACTTCAGAGTTGCCCTCGGGACCTCATACCCAGTGCTGATCATTCACTGGATACAGGTCAACCCAGGAAGAAGAGATAATGTGATGATCCCAGGGGGGCAATTGGCCCATTAGGGCAATCAGCTGATGGCCATCTGCCAAGAGCAGTCCCAGCAGCTGGGGCAAGGAATCTTTCATTCCTGACAGGGGCTGGCTGGCGGGTGCTGGCAGCACATCACAACATTTGCCAGCTTGAGTGTCCTTTCACATGTACAAGCAAAACCAAGCAGGTGCACTTAGATTTCCCTCTTTTTGAAACAAAACAAAACAAAACAAACAAAAATAATCCTATTGTACATCATATTCTGCACCTTTTTTCATGTACTTAATGTCCTTGGAGATGTTTTTCCTCAAACACCCAGAAAACATCCTTACTCCTTTGTTGTTGCTTAAATCAGCACATAGTATCTCACTATATGGCCATATGTTTATTTGTTCCTTGACTTACATAGTAAACAGGCAAAACACTTGTGTGGTTCAAAACTGAAAAAAAAAGGACAAAAGGTATATAGCACCCATCAATCTATTTCCCATCTAATCCCCATCTCCACAGGTAACAAGAGCTTCTTTTATATCTACAGTTTCTTTATGCACACACAAGCAGACTCAAATTTAGATTTCCTCTATGTTTTACAAGGCGTCCTGTACACACTGGCATCATATCTTGAAGACCTTTCATATTAATGCTCACTATTTTCCTCATTCTTGCTGTTACACTGTATTCCAGTACAGGGGTTTCTCTTAATTTGTTTAATGAGTCCCCTGTGGCTGATCTTGTAAAGCAATGCAGCAGCGACTAGTCTTACAGATGCACACATCTCTTTTTGCATATGCGTATCTGTCAGGCAGAACTCAAGAGGAAATTGCTGTGTCAGAGGGTTCCTTTAAAATTGAGTCTTTAGTGGAATGAAATTCCTTCTCTCTCCATCACTGTAATTTTTTCAATATTTTCTGGTTATTCTTTTTTACTTTCGTTTTAATTAATTAATCAAATTAATCAACCTAATTAATTAATTTATTGCAGTAATTGGGGATTGAACCCAGGGGTGCTCTACCACTGAGCTATATACCCAGACCTTTAGACAGGGTATCTCTAAATTGCTTAGGCAGGCCTTGATCTTCTAATCCTCTACCCTCAGGTTCCCTAGTTGGTGGCACTACCAGCATGAGTCAACTTGCTGGTTTACTTTTCTATACGATCTTCAGAATCAGCCTGTTTCCAGCACCACAAACACAACAGACACACACACACACACACAAAGACACACACAAATATAGACTAGGAGAATTGATTCTTTTATGATGTTGAATCTTTCTAACAACATGATGTGTTTTGCATTTATTTAAGTCTCCTTTTGTGTTCTTAGTGTCTAAAATTTCTTTCAACACTTCTACTTACTGTATCCTTACATATCTTATTCTTTTTGCTAATATTGTAATTGGGTCCAGTTGTTTAATTTGCCTTTTTTTTAAATATGGATGAAAGCTATCAGTATCTGTATGCTAATTCTGTATCTCATTATCTTACTAGATTCTCCTCTTAACAGTAGATTTGCAGATGATTTTCTTCATTATATATATAATTTATAATGTAATATAGTTTTACAATCACCTACACAGTGGTAGTTTTAACTGCTTATTTTGAACATTTCTACTTATTTCCTTCTTTTTCCTTTGCTTTCACTAGTCATCCAGAATAATGTTAAATAATTATTTTAGTCTAATTCCTAACCTTAATGAGAATGCCTTCAAATGCCCTGGTACTGCCTCTGTAGCTGAGATTTTTTTTTTTTTTTTTAATTTTGGTACCAGGGATTGAACCCAGGGGCACTTAACCACTGAGCCACATCCCTAGCTCTCTTTACTTTTTATTTTGAGACTGGGTCTCACTTGCTTAGGGTCTTGGTAAGTTGCTGAGGCTGATTATGAACTTATAAATCCTCCTCCCTCAGCCTCCAGAGTTGCTGGAATTACAGGCATGTGTCACCTCATGATTTATTTCATTAAGTTAAGAAAATATATTTTTCTATTTTTAAGTGTTATTATAAAGAATGGTTATTACATTTAATTAAAGGAATTTGTTGCAGTAGAACAGGATGATGACAATATGAATTTTCCTCTTTAGATTTTAACATGAGAAAATTTATATATTCTACTATTGAAATATTCATGAATCATTGAATTAAATCTTCCTTACTTAATGCACAATTCTTACCATGTTGTTCTATTTTGGGGGAGGGACTTTTAAATTCACAGGTGATATCTATCTACGTTTGGTTTAATTTTTACTAGGTTTTGTTTTCAAATGATATTTAGTTTAAAAAAAAATAAAATTTTTCCTTCTCTGGGTTTAAAAAGCTTACATGACCATGGGTTTAGAGACTGAAGGCCTAACCTCCATGTCTCCAATAGGCCTTTCTACTTTAACCTATTCTTTCAGTGACTCTTCACCATGCCAGTTTTATAGTCAGGTTCAACAAGAATCTTGTTTGCCTTCAGGTTTTGCCAAGCCATTCCCTTGGCTGTGGTTTCATCAGATAATAGGTAAGGACAGTAGAATATCATTCATCCACTCATGCACTTCCTTAATTAGATGACGATGCACTTGGCTACCTCAAGAGTCATGGATACACCCATCATTTACCTGGGCTGTAGTGAATTTCTTCACTTCAAATTCAGAGCACTAGGCAAAACTCATGTCATAACCTGCAAAAGGCCTTTGTACGAAATAACTTTCCATATTTAATCATTGAAAATTGAAAGATGTTAGAATTTGTACAGAAATCTGTAGAGTCTAAAATGTAGACAGTCAAACACACAATTGTGTTAAAAGGGAAAATAATTCAAACTTCCAGACATGGAGATCATTTGAAATAATCAGTAATATCCCTCCATCAGGGAGGAGAGAGTATTGTCTCTAGTACTTACTCCATTGTAAAAGTAAACAGTATAATTTCGGTCCTTCTAATGACTATTTAGTACTTTAAAATTCCTGCTCAGAATCCCCTTTATATAGACTCAGTATAATCTTATTACCCTAACTAACTAGATAATATGTGATAGAAATAACCAAACATCCAACTTAGTGAGAACCTGTTTCAAAATTTAAAAAAAAAAAAAAAGGATGAGGATATAGCATGTAGCTCAGCAGTAGAGCACCCCTGCGTTCAATCCCCAGTATAACAAAAAAAAAAAAAGGAAAAATCAAGCCAAAGAAACTGATGAGACTAAGAATTTGTATAAAGACAAATGCATACAGGATCATCTTTCATTGAAATTCTCAAATTTTTGCACTTCAGAAAATGTACACTGACACAGGCAGAGCAGCAGAATTATGAAGAAAGCTTGTATTTTCCAGAAGATGACAGTGGAGAGGATTATCTCTCTTATTGGCTTTCAAATCTAAGTAGACAGAAATTCCTTTTATTGCCCAGCCTGGTGGCACATGCCTCCCCGCGACTTGGGAGGCTGAGGCAGGAAGATCTTAAGTTCAAGACTAATCTCAACAATTTAGTGAGGTCCTAAGCAACTTGGCAGGAAGCTGTCTCAAAGAGAAA